CTAATAAAATACTCAAATATATATTTTTATTTAAAGTAAATTTTGAAAAGGGTCATTTGACCCCGCTTGGTACGTTTAGTGTTAAGAGCACGATCCTGGTAGCGGTGTTCAACAATCCGTAAACATTCGATTGTTTTGTATTTTATTTTCCTCTTCCTTTTGCCATCTGATTGGAAATCTTAAACAACTATATTTATATTGTAAAGCATTTGGTATGCGTTTCTCCCGCGATCGTTCACTACTACATATTCAATGAAAACGTGATCGACGGTATAGTCGGTAAAGTCGATAAACAATCTAATTTCGTTCGATTTATAAGAACGAAATCAATTATCTGAATTTGCAAGACGAGCAGTTAGTTTTAATTAACTGAAGTTGTACACAATGTCCCATCATGTTAAATTCATAGTTTTATTAACGTCATCGTTAATAATAATCTCGATTTAAAATTCATCTTCGCGGGACAAAATTCTGAAATAATCGAAAGATTTTTGTTTCCTCTTTACATGTTTACTTTATGCATCTTTATTGCGTGTAAATCAACTGAAGAAGCTGAAAGCTTGAAATGAACTCGAATTGACGAAAATTGAAGAGATACGAGAACAAAGGAAGTCAATAATTTCGGGTGATCAAAGATCATTCTAATAGTACATTGGCATATGACGTATTTGCAGTTGCATCGATCGCGGGTGGACGTGCTGCCATTCGTTTCAAGTCTAATATACATCGAGTATTAGGTTTATAAAACAGATACCCTACTTCATCGTAGGGTTTCAAGGGGGTGAATCAGTGATTTTGCAATGGAGTAGGATGTGGGGTTCTTTTGAATAGTTGGAGACGGGATTCCAGGAAAGTTGACAGGATTGGAAGGGACTAGTTACTCCCTTAATTTGTGCCAATCGGCAATCTGTCTCTGCGGTGAGCTACAAACTTCTCTCCAATGATTTAAAGCAGATCCTTGACAATCTGGCCCACCAAATTCCAGTCGTCCAATCACCTAGAAAATGTAGAGATATGATTAACGAGACACACATATGTACATTCAATTTTTTGCTTGATTTCACCTTTTTTACAGAATAGCTTGCCATGTTATTACTTCCCGAAAATTAACATTAGCAAGATTATTCTTTGAAGTATGAAAACCAATCACGAATCCTATGATCAACAGGCAAAAAACTACTTAAAGTTAAATTTTAATAAAAATAATATGTAAGTCGTCAATTCGAAAACAGACGAAATATTTGTTCCTAATTTTTCCACATCAAAACTTAACACTTACATCGTACATATATAAATTTAAATATTATAAATGCCTTCCCATTATTATTATTATTATGTTCAATTTTGTAAACAATTATTAAATTGCTCGTACTATTTAAATTAAATTATAAATAAACAATTTGTTTCAATTTCGTAGGATATTTTGTATGGCCAAAAACGAACAATCGTTTTAAAAATTGCGATTGTTTACAAATGAATTTCTCGATTGAATGAGAATTTCTTTCTCAAGCTTTGATGTTATATACTTTGTATAAGAAAATGGTGAACAATCACGCTATGCAACTTTGCGTCACGCTATACTCGTCTGTAATTGTAGTGTTATAGTTTGAAATTATAGTGCACACGTATCAGTACGTGTATTTGTGTGTGATTTAATTGTTAAATCAATTGTATGTTGGCTAATACTGCCACGAAAGAAATTCTAGAGAAATTCTAGAAATTCTTATCTCTGCATTCTGAATATTATAAAAAGATTTATTAGCTTAGTACAATTCTGGAATTTTCTTCGAGTCTCGTCGATTTTTTTTTTTTTTATACATTGTGTTTTATCAATTTTAAAAATTTTAAAAATAACAAATGCAACTGTTATCAATAATCACGTATTGTATATAACGATCTGCAAGAAAAACCGAAACTTTGAAACTGTATGTAAAAATCAGACGGCGTAAATCATCTTGCGTACGTATTATGTGTAATAATATAGATTGTAAATGAAGTTGGAAACTGATCTTTTTGTCAAGCCCAAACAGATCGGCAGAATGAAACATTCATGGACCACGGAAGTTTCGTAGACCGAAATTTTTGAATTCTTAAATTCTCGTCTTTCATTGTAATTAGACAAATAGAGAAGTATATTCTCATGGTATTAAACGATTTGTACTAAACACTAAGTATCAAATATTCTTCTTCTTATTAAATTATTAAATATTAAATATTTGTTCTACACTTATAAACATAACATTTCATTCGTAAAAGAAATCAATATAAAAATATACTCTGTCTACTATATTTGCGACAGTGTTATAAAAAAAAACTTAAAATTTTCAAATCCAAGTGACATTTTATTATTCAAAATGGGGGGACGAAAGTGATAGTAAATTAGATTAAATTTTAAGTGTGTACCTCGTTTCTTGTAACGCGATCCCAATCGATTAGCATGAACTCGAGGCTGACGTTATTGAGACCGTCAGCACCATTTGGAATGTCGAAACCAAAAGATTCGTTAAAGACTGGGCTAAGGGTGCGTTTCTTGACGCGCGTCTTCCTCTTCGCTATGCGCTGAGAATTATATAGAAGATAGATCTTCACGTATGGATCTGCAAGTCCAGTGACGTCCATTTTCGGCAAATTCTGCGCCTTCAGCACAACCACTGTCAATCGGCTGTTCATTGGTTGCCAACAAAGAGAGACTAACAGCTCACCTCTGCCTTGTGATTGGATCTATAATCACGGATCATTTATGATAATCATTTTGTCATTTCATTCTCTCATAAATTTTCTTTGATAAAGATATTATATATTATATTTATTTGTAAATCTTCTTTTAAAATCGAATTTCGCTTTCTCTTTTTTCAATCAAGTTTTACTCCATTAATATAAATTATTTCTACCTATCACAATCATAATTTCAATTGCAAATATAATATTGGATGATTAATCTATTCGATAAAATTAGATAAAATTTATCTTCGTTTTTATGAGGAGCTGTTGCAAAAATTCCTTACGTACGACGTACAAAATTGCATCGATTTTTCTTACTCGACGATATTAATTATGATTGTCTTTGACAATTTTAAAATTTATAAAATCGAATGAGATTACAAGCTAAGATGGTGATCTTGAAAGTTAATTTCCTTATTCATGCTTTATTTCCTACCTTGAGACTTCTAGGGCATATTTTCCGACATAATGATATCTCTTGGTTATCAGAATTCTCCAAATCAGGTATCGACGAAAGTGCATATGTCAATTCACCGATAATATCGTCTCGAGAGTATCTATCGAAGCTGAGTACTATAAAGTGCAGGCTAATTTTCTGTGAGCAACAATAAAAAGATTTATTTTAAATTCGAACCTCGAATTTACCTTGAACTTAAAATATTTAGATTTCGAATTCAATTCAATCAATTTTAAATTTAGAATATTTATATCTTGATTTAGTCTATATATATATATATATATATATATATATAACTGACATACCTATGTAGCTCAAAAATATATTTAACTAAATTATTATATTTAATAATAAAAGCCTTCGATGTGTGAAAATATTTTGAATTTTTTTGTTTTTCTTTCTGAGTTATATGTGAAATATGATATGTATAATTTTATGTGTAAAATATCATGTATATTTATCTATAATATATACTACACTTATAAAACAATAAAACTATTCACAAGAATAGTATTGTAAGAAAAGAAATATTACATAGCATCACGTTTATTATTTTAATATTGATTTTAACATTAGATATTTGTTATTATTTCATTCTGAGGTGGCAATAAATAATAAAAAAGTAATCTTAAGTCAATTAAATTAATCGGTTCAAACATTAATTAGTTCGATCGTAATTTCATCTTTGATCAAAAACATTAAGATTAAAATTAATATTAATATTATTATATTAAGATATTGTTAATATCAAGATCGAGATGTCGTTGAATTATGGAAAATGAATTAAAAATTGCAAATAAATAAACACATTTTAATTTGAACTGTTTGAAAGAGGAAAGGTAGAAGTGTAATTCGTTACCTGAAGCTGATCCTTGGATATTCCAAAGAAAGTGAAATCCTCGTCATAGACAGGATCTCTGGTATTTCTGAGTACCCTGGTTTTCGCTTGATGCTGTTTATCGGGCAGCAACTTTAATTTCACGTAAGGGTCACTGGTAGCCCTCGCAGGTAGACCCTTGCAGTTCACTACTGTCACTCCGAGTGCATTTTGCTCGCTTACGTACCGCAATTTAAATACCAATTGACCCATATCGCTTTTGTTATTCTCTGTCGCGTGGTTCTTTTCACGTTCCATTTTCTCATTGTTCTCAATTTCCGCCTTGTCTCGCTCATTTTCGATGCTTAGAGTAACTTCGCTAGAAGGTGTCTGGGCAGGGGTGCCTGCAGTTGATTGAACAAACAAACGATATTTTAATTATAGGCAACCCAGCCCTTTTCAATATGTTAACATGCTAATTTAAAAATAATTGCAAAGCAATTCCTACGAAATGATCTGTCTGTTTTATTATTTCACGTGGTTAGTGTATACTATAATTTAGCTTTCTCATTCGGAGTCAGGATTTTTTCATGTAAAATTAAACTGAATTTAACTGAATCTAATGTAGGGAAGGTTATACGAGTATACATGTGTTTGCATATAATATAATTTATAATATAATACTAATATAATAATATTATAATAATATAATAATATAATATAAATATTAAATATTATATAAATACAATAATATAATACTAATATAATAATATTATATATAAATATAATACTATTTGACGCAGTATAGACCGGTTACGAGTATACATGTGTTTGCATATAATACTACAGCATTGTTTATTTCGTTAAGTATTTTTCGATAATGTCGTATTCTTTTATTTATCATGAAAATAATTGTTAATGATACGTATTAAATTTTTGAGTGTAAGATTATCAGATGAATAATGAAAAAACATGTTATCATTTTGTAAAAAGAAATCGTACAATTATAAAGCTTTATAGTGAATGACCCAATGACCCTTGAAGTCTTTACTTCAAAATGGGTCATTCATTTTACTCTAAAATGTGTAGCATAAGACGAACTAAAGATACTTTTCTCCTCTAAAATATATATATAAAATATATAAAAATGTTACATGTAAAAACATTGAAAAGATCTGAATTTGAATCTAAATGCAATGGATTTAGAAATTATAAAGTCGAATAATCAGGATGGAAACGAATATACGGATCTCTTGAATTTCCATCACTAATATTCAAAGATCGATAAATCTTCAAATTCTCAGTCTCAATATTCAATGGCTGAATATTTAGGTGTCCAAATGTTAACGTGAGTCACTGTACGTTGATAAACATTTGAACGAAGGATTTATGTATATATTTATGTATGTACCTGTACCCTGAGGTGTTCTGGGCTGTGAACCAGGATTCGACGATTGAGATCCAGTCGGACTGGGCGTCTGTCCACCAGAACCAGGAGGGCTCTTGGCTAGTCCCGTTGGGCTTGGGCTCTTCTTCAGGTAGTGGCTGGTACTTCCTGGACTTTTAACTGCTGTTGGTTTCCTGTGAGGCGGCCTGAACGCCAGGGACTTGTCGGAGTTCAGCTTGGTGTGTTCACGACGTCGTCGGCAGAGCCACCAGGTCATTACGACGGCGCCAAGTAGGAAAACGGAGCCCATACATAGTGCGATTACCGTTGTCGTCGACACTGGAATTCATGCATATCTTTCTTTAAATACTATTACTTTTATCCTTTATTGGTAGTACATTAAATTCCTGATTTTTAGAACTATTATACAGTACATAATTACACACTATATGTACTGAAGAATAAATCATTGTCAGAAAGTATTACATTCTGTAATCTATGTACTTTATATTTTTGTATTTTTATACTTTAAACTTTGAAGAGTGAAAAATATGAGTAATCATTAATTGGTTAATGAACTGATAAATGGTTAATGCGAATTAAAGATTAAAAAAGAATCTGTGATTATATATTTATTTAAAATCTATAGTTATATTTCCTACATAACTATTTAAGGAAACTGACACGACTGATTAGAACAATTAATTGGATAAAAATAGATAAAAATAAAATACTTGTATATTTAGTATAAATTATAATTTGTATATTAGTATATAAGTATAAAAATAAAAATATCTGTATATTAAATTTTGTAAAAGTTCTTATTGCTGATTAATATTTTCAGTGAAACATCATGGCAACATACATGTTTTATTATCAGTTCACTCAAATCTGGTAAATGTCATCAATTAATCGACAAACATAAGACAAATTGCAATAAAATTCACGCAATGTTGTTAGAATATGCTATTTTTATACAAATTTATTTAAATAATGTTTTCATTGAACATTATATATATATTGAATATTATACCTATAGGAAATATTCGAACAAATATTTTATTCCTTATATACGGTGCTAAGTTTAAATTTACTCCACCAGAAATAGAATGCTCATCGAATTTCTCTTCAACGAGTTGTCGAATATTTGCAATGTCGCGTCGAATCCGAAATATGCCCAATGGCATTAACATTCGAATTCACGTCGAATCGATTCGGCGTATAAGTTAAATGATGTTTAAATAGAAACATCATATGATCCTATGCCTCTATGTTATCCATAGAAATCGATTATTCTTTACTATATACATGCGTCGCCACTTTTAACTTATTTATTTAAATTATTCATCGACTGTTGTGACACTATATCTAAGTCTGTGATAATTCAACGAGCTGTGAGAACAATGAAACGATGAAAGGAAATAAAGTAAAAGCGATGGGCCAATCAATGGGAACACCCAGTCAAAAAATGCACAGGATGACGGCTGTAACAGCTGTCTGCGATTATCGGTGGCACGATTTCTTCGATACCAACGATTTTCTTCCATTGGCATTATATATATGGACAGCTTTGACATGAAATTATTATATATATAGAAAAGGGAAAAAAGGAAAAAAGGAGAAAGAAGAAGTAATCGATGATGCAATCGCGAGGAAAGGGTGTAGAATCATCGTTGTGAAGGAAGATCGACTCAGGAAGATTCGTCTTTCGTCTGGTTTGAAGAAGGTACGTAAGTAATGTTTCACTTCAACTTCACTCACCAAGATTGACTGGTCGAATCACAGGTCCGTCTTCTGTCACTCCTCCGACCATGTTTGGCCAGGTTTTCCTCTTTCAATTCGGACGCTTTTATCCGTGTAAGTTACTCAACCACGACTCACTGGACGAATATTTACGGCGTGCGGACTGTTTGTGGTACTCTGAAGCAACCATCGGACGAAATGCTTCGATCAATAGTAACGGCCCGGAGCTTGCGCGGAATACACACGTTGCTGGAAAAGGAATCAACGACAACCACGACACCGGCGATCAAGACGGTGACGGTGATTACGACGCCAGAGGGTTTGGTGATTGGTAGGCCAAAAGAAGGGCTGCTCTTGTAAGTAACAACAATTTTCAGCAGATGATTACCGGTTGACTCGATTGGTTATCGATCGTTGAAGTAGATCCGTTTCAGAACTAGAAAACTCCAGAGGAAAGAAAACTGTAAGAGATGGTTAATTCTCATTATTCGCGAAGAACGAGTCATAGAGAAAGAGAGTTGACAGAAATGGAAAAAGGAACTAGAAGATTTTCGGTACGTGCGTGCGCG